TGCGTGTTGCTCTGCTCGATCAGAAGTTAAAAGCACTGAACATTTTTCTTAGCTGTATGCCTCCAAGCTGCTGGCCTGCCAAGTTAGTCAGCTGAATCCAATTACTGCGAGCAGCATTTCATTTGGCTCGATGGAAGCACTCACTTATAACTTCACCTAAAATTTCAATAATACCTATATTGGTCCCACGCCTGAATAATTCTAAAGATTTCCCTGGGTTCAGCTCCGGCAACGTCTTCTCTGAGCTCTGGGAGACGAGCACAACCCCAGCTTGCCCAGGCTCCCTCTCTCCGTGGTACAAACTTTGGGGATTATTCCTGTGGCCGTGGAAGTCTTGGTATTTGGCTAAGCTCTGACTAAATAAAGCATGTTTAGAGCTAAAAGGCTATCGCTTGTGAGGCTGAGAAGGTGCTTCGGAAAGGGATGAGAAGTCGATAATTAATTAGGCACAAAATGAAAACTTACCATGTTAATCAACAGCGGCTAACAATGACTCGGTTTGCAATATTATGATCTCTCCGCTCAGGGGCTAAGGTGCAACCCACTTTATGTTGCCTTCATACACCGTGTAAAGTGCTATTTCTAATGAATTCGCTTTAAAAAAATAAAGCACTTAAAGTTGACGTACGCCCACGTGAATACATTATATAAGACGTTACCGGGACAGGCCCGGGCCAGGAATCTGAGCGAGCATCATGTGTAATCATGAAGCTCCACTTCCCTAACTCCAGTTTGCCAGCATAAATTAAGGTGATTTGGAAGGGGAATGTAGCATCCTACTGAGTTTGGTTAGGGAGAGAGAAGACTTGGTGGAAAGTTGTAAGGTCTGTTGTGTTGTGAGCTATCGGAGGCGCTTCCGTTGGTTGTTCATTAAGTGGTGAGTTATTACTATACGAGCCAAAGGTCATTTCAAAGGCTTATAGTGGCTAGAAATCGTCTTTATAATGACCCGGGCTTCTTTGTGGGGGTTTTTCTGGCACTCTTAAGTTTTTAAAGTCCTGAATCGACGCATTGCACAGACAAAGGCAAAATACTAATTTCGGGAAGCAAATGTTTGCAGCGCATTTTCAATGCTGGGACTTCTTCGCTTATCTTTCTTTCTGTCTTTCTTATTCGGTGTCTGGGAGGAGAAATGGAGAGAGACCCGCGCTAGCCTCGTTTCCGCGAACTCCTCGCGGGCCGTGTGTGCGGGCGGCGGGAGAGGCGCTTGTGACCCTCGAATGTGCCCGCAGCTCCCCCGCAAAGGCTCTCCCTCACCCCCGTGCGTTGCCTGCCCGCGCCCCTGCCCGGGCTGGACTGGACCGGGCGCTCGGGAAGGCAGGCACGGTTCCGCGGCCGGTGCGCGGGGCCCGTCGGAGCGGCTGCCGCAGGCCGCCCTACCCGGCTCCGACCCACAACCGGACTATTTCGCACGTTGGTTTGCTCCCCGCCTCTCTCAAAGCGCTACTAATAAATGAAGAGAAACATCTACCCTTTGTCTGGTAAAAGATCTGACGCTGACGGAGAGACACGGTGAGGGGCTGCGGACGAGATGTGCATTTATTAACAAAGTCCTAAGGAAGAAAGTCCAAAACAAAGCAGTTTCCGCTGAGAGTTATCACTTCTGTTGCAGGTCCGTGCCCACGGATTATCCAAAGGAACCTGAAGATCCTACTCACACAGTTAAAGTCAAAAATCAAGAAAAAACCTAAGTTTGGTGAGTTCTCTAAATTTCCTTTTCCATCCATGTCTCGCTTTCCCTATCGCGACAGGCCCGTCGCAGGGAGCACGGCCCGGCCCTGGCCCTGGCCCAGGCTGGCCGAGCGGCGAGAGCTGCTCGGCGCACCCGGGGCGCGCCGCCGTCCCACACGTCAGAAAAAGAATAGCCCGCAGAAAGCCCCGCTGAAAAAGCCGCCCCTTTCCAGGGAAGCCGAGCCCGGCTGCGGAGCAGCCAAGGCCTGGACTCGGCCGCGGGGAGCGGCTGGACCCTGGGGGGGCTCCGTCGCTGGTTTAAGAGGCCCCACCGGCGGCCACGGCTCCTGTCTCGCAGGGCCCCTTCGCGCTCCCCAGTGCTCTCAGTGCCCTCAAAGACGAGACATCCCGCGGCTCAGGCGCAGCCCCAGTGGTGGGTGCCCAGCTGCCCTGCTTGCGGCCGGGTCCGGCGGCGGCTCCAGCGCTTTCCTTATATACAGGGCTGCCCCGGGCCGCCGGCCGGGAAGCGTGCCGAGCGGGGGATTCTTTTGCCGGGCTCCCTCCTACGCGCCGGCTGCTTTGCACTTCTGAAAGTGCCGGGGCTTGGGAAGTGTTTTCCTTTTCATTCCTGGCCGGAGCGTTTACTGCCACGGCGCTAGCAGTCATAAATTTTGCTACAACCGCAATGACAGGTGCATTGATATGCACCCTGAGAGCTCCGGCTGCTTTAATAACCGCTTCGCTGGCCGCTCTCACCGCCTCTTATTTATTCGGTATCATATTAGATATTGATCCGAAGCAGAATTAAGTGTAGTGGAAGTTTTAGTAGAGAACTGCTTAATATGAAAGTGTCGGGAGGAAAGCGACTGGCAGTGCCGGGCCAGTGTCAGCCTGGGCCAGCCGGGTTCCGCGCACACGCGCGGGTGGACGCTCGGGTTCCCAGCTGCTCTCCAGGCACAGCCGTGAGAGGGACGGCATCCCCCAAAAGCGCTGGAACCAGTGGCAAGACAAAAAGCCCCATTATCACGTACAACGCCTAACAGTTCAGATGAGGTTAACCTTTCTGGAGAGGAGGAAGGGAAATCTGAAACACAGACATGGATACTTTGCGGTTTCCTACCCTCGGTGCCTCCAAGCCCACCTCCCACGGGTCGGCCTCACCATTTGGATGTCACTTTTTTTCTTTTCTTTTTTCTTTTTTTTTTTTTTTTCTCCCCGGAGGCTGTTTCTGGCCAAACCAAGTGTTGAGCCCCCGCTTTGGTGTTACCTATAAAAACATCACCCCGGGCCTTTCACTCGTGGAAAATCAAACCCTGGATAGGTCTCCCTCTCCCTCTTTCTGTCCCTCTCTCTCTTTCTAAGATCTAAAGATGAGCCACCAAACAGTTGAGCATTGTCCATGTGATTTATGGCCCATAGCCTCCTTTTTAGGTTCAAGCAGAGTTCACAAGCAGTTGGTATTTCAGAAAAGAAATAAGGCTTTTAACAGCTTAACAGCAATATTCTTTCTTAAGATTCCCTGTATTCTTTTGGGAACTATATTTCACAAAGCATATAAAAGCCTATGCTTAAGGTAGTGTTGTGCTAACAAAAGTCCTCAGTCCAGACCCGTCCCGAAAATGTAGATGATAGAAGTGGGATAAGAACGACAGAGTTATTTGGACAAAAACACTTCCAAGACTTGTCAAGATTATCACATGGTATTAAAACTCGTTTGTATCGCCACCGTCCACTTCTGCAGACTTTTTAAACTAAAATTTTCCAGGAGAGAAAAACAGCTCCCGTTTCCGTCAGCTCCACAGATCATCTCAAGCTTTTGTTTAGGAAAGAAAAGGACCCCGGCGGTCTGCGACACGGGATAAACCGCCGAGAGCGGCCGTGGATCGCAGCTCGCTGAGATTATTTTGACTTACGGAGATGTGTTTCCCAGTGAATTTTAGAGAACAAATCCACGGTATTTGGCGGGACCAAAGCTACTTGCGAGAGACAGAAGAGTACTTTCCTAGTATTGCATAAGTATAGGCAGAAGAACTATAATTGTCGGACACCTTTCAAAGATTTCTAGCCGCTTTTCTCTGTTATGTTAGTAGGCTTATATCCTGAAGAAATACAAGGAAGTCTTAAGATATGTTGATTTACAGGCTTATATTGTCAGGTGAAGTATGTGCTAGTTTACAAAATCACCAAAAGTGTCAGAGAAAAACCCTATCGCACAAGAAAAATAACAGCAGGGAATATTAAAAAGCCGCACCAAAATTACAGAACAGTTTCCATCTTGTACTAAGCGCAGAAAAGTTTTGGGAGCAGCAAGGAGAAAGGTAACAGCACCCTGCCTCAAAACATCTGCCCTAAGGGGACCGTGCGTTTTCGGTGGGAGCAGCCTCGTGTGGGAGCCGGGGGCGGGGAGGGGAGAGCCATAAGTTTGCAGGCTGAAAAAAGAAAAGAACCCTCTAAAAATTATCTCAGATGTCTCAGGTTCTTTCTATTGGGTACAAATAAAAGGGACGAGAAACGTTGGGAGAAGGAATTTAATTCATCACAGAATTAAAATAGGGGAGCTGACCTGCGACTTCCTTTATAGTGCAAAGTGAAGGGAGTGAATGGCGCCGGTTATACTTTAACTCTGGAGGAATCCGGGGAAAGAAGAAGGGCGGGTTTACAAAGGGGACGGGATTTTTCTGCCTCTGCCCGGCCGCAGCCCGGGCTCCATCCATCATGTCAACCGTGCACGGCCGTGCGCACGCGTGGCGGGCGGGGGCGCGGATGCTCTCGGCCGAAACGGGCCAGTGAGTCTTCGGGGACACTGGCCAGCACAGTTGCTCACCCAGAGATGTTGCCTACAACCGCGGGGTCCGATCCAGCCAAACTCGAGCGAGAACGGTCCAAAGGCAAAACAAAGCAAATAAAACATCGCCTCCAAATGCTTCAAAAGGTGGCCTGTAAGAGGTCCTGCCAATGTGTTCTTGTTCCCCCCTGCACCATCGCTCTCGGGTGGCTTTTTCCTTGCAGCTCCCGGGTCCTTCCCTGGTGTACTCTGCTCTCTCCCTGGTGCTGCACAGTTTGCCCTGACTCCTGCCTGGTGACCCTGCTCCTCCGCTTTTGTCCCTTGGTCCTTCTTTGGGTCCCCTGCTCCTTCCTTGATGTCTCCCGGCCCTCCCCTGTATGGGAGGCCGAGGGTGCCGGGGTGCGGGGGATGCCAGGACCGGCCCGTGCCAGCCACTACCAGTCTGTGTCCCCCTCTAAAAGCCTCTTTTGTGTCCCTGCTGTTTCCCTCGCCAGGTGGCTGCGGGTGGCCCGGGCCGACGACGTGAGGCGCGGGGCGGCGGTCAATGTTATTTGAGCGGGGGCCGCGGCCCTCGGCGATCGCAGAGCAGAGGATGCAGAAAGCCGCCTACTACGACAACGCGGGGCTCTTCGGGGGCTACACCTACAGCAAGGCCGACGCCTACCCCTACGGCGCGGCCCACCAGCCCTACGGCCAGGCCGGCTTGGACGGCGAGTACCCCGGCTCCGCCTGCTCCGTCCAGGGCTCGGTGCCCGGCCGCGCTCCGGCCCACAAGGGCAGTGAGCTGAGCGGGAGCTGCATGCGGCCGGGCGGGGGCGGCCCCGGGGGCAGTCAGCCCCCGGGGATCGGCGAGCATCAGCCCCCGGCCCTGCCGCCTTCCTCCCCGCCCAACCCCCCTCCCAGTGTGCCCCCTCCGAAAAAAGCCAAGGGGGGCCCCAACTCCTCGGGCTCGGCCAGTGCCACCCTCAGCAAGCAAATATTTCCTTGGATGAAGGAGTCCCGGCAGAACTCCAAGCAAAAAAGCACCTGCGCCCCCCCAGGTAGCCCAACATCCCCGCCCCGACCCACTGCTGGCCCGGGGAGCCGGACTGAGCCCCTCGGGCTAAACCCCTCAGCCTGAGCCCCCTGGCTCCGCGCCTTGTGTCCTTCTCCTCTGACTGCCATCGCCCTCCTATCCCGCCCCACCCCGCCCAGGGGTCCCAGCCCGGCCGGGCGCTGCAGGTGGGACAGGCTGGGGGCGGGGTCCCGGGGACGCCTGGACGGGTGGCCGCTGGTGGTCTCTGGGGAGAGGCAGCTGTGGGACGGTGTGTGTGTAGGGCAGAGAGGAGCGGGCGGCCACCCCCGGGCCCTCTGCACCCCCTCCCCGGGCTCCGACAGAGCGAGTGGGTATAGCAGGTTTCTGAGGGACTCCGGGAGGAAGGGGGGGCTGTCTTTCATGGGGGGAACCAATGTCTCTTTATGCTTCTTCCCTGCAGGAGAGAGCTGCGAGGACAAGAGCCCCCCCGGGCCGGCCTCCAAGAGGGTGCGCACAGCCTACACCAGCGCGCAGCTGGTGGAGCTGGAGAAGGAATTTCACTTCAACCGCTACCTGTGCCGGCCGCGCCGCGTGGAGATGGCCAACCTACTCAATCTGACCGAGCGGCAGATCAAGATCTGGTTCCAGAACCGCCGGATGAAGTACAAAAAGGACCAAAAAGCCAAAGGCATCATGCACTCCCCCGTCGGACAGTCCCCGGATCGCAGCCCCCCTCTAAGCGGCCCAAACCACGTCGGCTATTCCAGCCAGCTCCCCGGCGTCAACAGCCTCAGCTACGACGCGCCCTCGCCCACCTCCTTCGCCAAGTCCCAGCAGAGCATGTACGGGCTGGCCGCCTACACGGCGCCGCTGAGCAGCTGCCTGCCGCAGCAGAAGCGCTACGCGGGCGCGGAGTACGACCCCCACCCCATGCAGAGCGGCGGCGGCGGCTTCGCCAACCCCAGCCTGCAGGGCAGCCCCGTCTACGTGGGGGGCAACTTCGTGGACTCGATGCCGGCCTCAGGCCCCATGTTCAACCTGGGGCACCTGCAGCACCCCTCCTCCGCCAGCGTGGACTACAGCTGCGCCGCCCAGATCCCCGGCGGCCACCACCACGGACCTTGCGACCCCCACCCTACCTACACGGACCTTTCCTCTCACCACACCTCTCAGGGACGGATGCAGGAGGCACCCAAGCTCACGCATCTGTAGCGGGGCGGCGGCCAGCGGGCCCCGCTCCCCTCTCCATTACCTCACTTTTCTGACGGGACAGTGTTACTGTGCTCTCGAGTGCCAACAGTATTAGTGGATTTGTCTCCCTTAGCAGCTCCCTTCTCTCTTCCGCAGCCCCGAGTAGGTCCGTGAGCAGGAGCCTTTCTCTTTAGAGCTGTTTTAAGCATGACAGTGCAATATACTGCCAACCGAGGGACTGATAAGCTGGTAATGATGTACTTGAAGGTAAGTCTTAGAGATGCTGTAGTGTTAGCAGCGCGTCATGCTGAGGTGTTTTAGACCAGTCGTGAGCCGTCGGAACTCGCCCGCGCGTAAGCTTATTTCAGAGAAGTTAATTTATGAGTTCTTCCGTAACGTAAGGATCGCATTGGACTAAATGATATGTATTTATTATTTTAAGCGAGACATTTTTTGTATCACTGATTATTTATCCTCGTCTTAATGTATTTATGTGGGTATTTGTAGAGTTTCTTCACCAATACTTCGGGAGAGGGATTCAGGTCCGTGGTGACTTACATTTCACCTATTTAGTATAATCGGTCTGAGCTAGTTGAGAGAGTAGTCTTGAACAGTTGTAACAGTGGCTGGTGTTTGTAGTTTATGTAAGGATTAATTAAGACAGCAAGTCGTAAATCATTAATAGAGTAAAACAAACTGTGGCGTCACACAAAGAGCCGTTACACTTAAAAAAATATTGAAAGTATTTTGAAAGTATTTATTTCTAATCGGCTGGCCCCACTCGAGCTCCTCGGTGGCTTGGCTGGCAGCTGGCTCGGCCGGGTGAAGCCACCTTTAGTTGGAAGCACAGCCGCTTTGAGGAGGCGATCTACAAAGAGGGGCTCTTGGCCATCTTGTTTCAGGTCAAATCCTGCATATAAAAACCTCGGTGAGGTTAACATTTATTTATTGGCTGGGTATCTATCGCACATAATATTTCGGTGGGCTACTTTCTTTTTTTTCTTTCTTTCTTTTTTTCTTTCTTTTTTTTTCTTTCTTTTTTTTTTTTTTTTTTTTTTTAATTACACTCTGGCTATCCAAAATAGAAATGAAATTAGAAGCTTAGAAGGCAAAAAAAATTTAGAAACCCTCTGATAGTGCTAATTTCATTAGGGTCTCCATAGCAATCTGCGCAGCAGCTGCCGCCTCCTTTGTTATTTTTATACTGTTGTCTTTATACTAACCATAAATCAATTTTTAGATGTCTTTGGAAGCCCGAGCTTTTCCTCTTTTTTTTTTGGTTTTTTTCCCTTTTCCCTTTTTTTCCTAAGTATAAACTTTGAAAGAAAATTGACAATCAGATACACACAGCCGAAGGGAGACGCTGAGACGGGGTGCGGACAGTGGCTGGGCGGTGCCGCCGCACTCCCCCGGTGCCCGGCAAGGACAGTCCCACCCTGCCCGACCGCGGCAGAGGGGCACCGTCACCCCTCCCTGCCATAAACAGGACAGTGAACACGGGGAAGAAAAAAAATAAAGTAACAAGAAGATAAAAAGATAGGAAAAGGAAAGGGAACGATGCTCGGAACCCTCGTGTTTCCTCCTCTCTAGTTACACGGCTGTATTGAACTCCTCGCTGGATTTACAGAGATACTTCTTTTGTTAACGCTGTGATTAAAGTCTCTTCCTGACAGTACATATTGCTCTGAGAAGACTATTCTTATCTCTTTCTAAAAATGTCGAGTTAAATAGTAATCCAAACTTCTGTATTCCCCACCAAAGCGTCTGATGCATCACTTTCCAGTTTGACAAACACTGCAGCTCCTACTCCATCCTCTAATGACAGACCTGGCATTCCTGTTGTGAGAAATATTTTACCACCTCCCATCCTGGTCAATACAGACAAGTTTTCTTTTATTTATTCTTCTTTTCTTTGCCATCCCTGCTTTCTTCCTCGCCATTTGGTATTTATGTTCAGCTGAGCACTAATGATTCAAAATATTACTTAGGGTTTTGTTTTCCCCTCTGTGAGATTTCAACAATGCTGTGCTACAGTGAAAAGTGTATCTTCTGTTAAATTTCACTTTTAACCAAGCGAATTTGGATATATGTGTTACAGATCTGTAAACAATACAGAACAGAATAAACTGCTTTGTTTGGAGACATATTTTAACCCTTTTAAGCCCTAAAATTGTATTCTATGGAAGTTTTCACACGAATTGTTTCTTAGAAGCACCACCCAGGAGTAAACAAAACATACAAACAACACAAAAAGTAATGCTATACACCACTTGTGATTTATACTTTTGTAATATGCCATAAATATACATATATGTTTGTCTCTCCTAAATTTTTCTGCAATCAATGTGCCCACAAACAATATTGTCCGTGTGGGTTTTTTGTGTGTTCTTGAAACACAATATATTTTGCATTACCTGCTTCTATCTGCGAAACAGTGAGGCATCACCATTTCTGCAGGACATGCAGTGTTCTTTTCCCTTTTGCTTTGTGCTCTGTAGGCTGTTAGACAGTGTCTGCCCTGACTTACACTATTAGTCCTTCATTAAATCTGTTAAGAAAGAAAAGGTTGTTTAGAGATCTGGGGAAGGAAGGGAGTTCAGAGGAACCCTGACCACAAACACAGTGTTACTGAGGCCCACTGCCCTGATTTACTTTCGTATTGCAGAAAGATGAGGCCAGCAGACATAGTTTCCAGTGGGGGAGGAGGAGCATGCGTGAGGGAGAATCTTCTTGTAAATAAATTCATTTTCTTCTCCATGACTCTGTCAGAGGCATCTTGTTTGTAATGCAATAGAAGTCCATGATGATAACCTAATTATTAGAAGTAATGTAACTTTAGCAAGATCGTTGGCATTTTTACAATGTTTGTACAAGCATCAGCAATCCAGAGGAGAGATATGCTTTGGCATAAGCCAGACTTTTTTTTTCCTTCGTGAAAAAAAAGATGGGATGAACTCCAGTCACCTATTTAAAACACAACTAGTAAGCCAAGCCCAGGCCTGGGGTTGATCTTAGCCTTGTCTTTCTTTAGAAATACTAAGCATAGGACCCCTTCCTCTCCTTCCCTGCTTTCTCCATCTGCTCCAGACCCATAAAAGGGTCAGTGAGCCAGGGCCTCTAAATGCCAGCAGCGATGTTGCACTATTTGGGATAGGGAGCTGCTGACAGCACTGGCTGAGAAGTGTCAAGGGTGCACTGAGCTTCAGTGAGGCCATGCAAGTTCTTCTGTTCAGATCAGCGGGGTTTGGGTCTCCACTTTCTGGTTTGGCCTTTACAGCAACCACCATTTAATGGTGCTGCAGCAGTTTCCCTATTGCAAAAGAGAGCTGAGTCTTTGTGTTATTTCCATGCAGTGTCTGCAGGGCTGAGCTACCCCTTTGCATCCTGTTTCTCTTTGGGGGGGAGGCCCATCAGTGTCCCACTGTGTATGGCCTGGTTAGCAGTGCCAGGGCAGGAGAACCTAGACAAGCACAGCCAGGGACTTCCAGGGATATCACAGTTTTGTAGGCGCCACTTGTGTTTGGCTGGAAAAACAAAGCCAAGTGCCTCCTGCTCCACTAGCAAGTACTTCCTGAGCAGACACGGGAGGCTCCCAGCCCTGGTCCCTGGGCAGGCCAGAGAAGGACTCAGGGGTATCTCCATAGCTTCCACTATGAGACTACACCAGGGTCCTCTGGGGCTGCAGGCAACCTTGTCCAAAGATGAAGAGGAGGCAGCTGGCTGCAGGAGGAGGAGGGCATGCAGGGAAGAAGCTGGCTAAGAAAGAGGGAGCCCATCAGCATCACCTAGAAGTCCCCTGATTTTCTGGAGGGCCATCTCCGTCTTTTGGACTCCGTGTCAAAAAGTCTGAAGGCAGGATCCACCACTGGGGTGTCTGCAACCCTCCAGCCCCATGGGAAGCCCTTTGAAACAGTGTGCAGGGAGGTCCAGGCACTAAAAGGACTACTTGACCAGGGGAAAAAACGGGGTAAAGGGGATGGGGCTGCTGGTCTACCACTGGGAGGGTGGTGCCTTGCTGACAGCTGTCAGCTGAGGAGAGAGGAAAGGAGCTGCAGGATGTGATGCTGTCCTTCTGTATGCCAGCCTGCTGTGCATGCCCAGCAGCCACACACAATGGCAGTCTGGCAAAGGCACAGTGTGCTGCACGGTGGACAGGCCCAGATGTTCAGCACTCCACTGCAGACCTGCCTGGAAACAAAAGGTGGAGCTGGGTGGGCAGCACAAAGAGGCTGGTGCTGCCAGAGCAATTAGGGCTGTGGTGGTTGGCTGGGTATCACGTCATGTTACAGACTGATGAACAAGATACCTCTGCTTTTAAAAGGTGCAAAGAAAACTGGACCAGAGCTCTGTTGGTTGCATCCACTTTCCAGGGACTGAGTGGCAAGTTAATCCCTGAATGGCAATATGTCTGTTCCCATGTGAGAGGCAGCAGTGGGTGCCCCGTGGTCCTTGCCTGGAGTGGGGCTGCCAGGGGAGTGAGAGGGCTGGCTCTGTTAAGGATCATCAATCATACAAAGAGCACTTTTTACTCGACAGTGGTTCCTCCTACTTCTGCTTGGACCTGAGCCAGCTGGGACCCGAGCAGAAACCCAATCCAGCAGAAGCCGAACACTGTCTCAGAGCCTGAGAGCCATGCAGTAACAGGGCAGGACTGAACTCCTCGGGTCACATAGGCTGAGATACAAAATGGGACACAGTGAGATATCTGTGCCTGCACATCCCTAGGCCTCTGCAGATGCTGCTCAGGGGCAGAGGTGAATTTTTGTCTCTCCTTTTGGAGCCCAGGGTCCTGAAACTTTCTGAACTTTCTGGGATGAATTACAGAAAGGCTCAGATGCAACGACAGTAAGCACAAAGAAGAGTGAAAACAGCAAGGAATTTGTACCAGACAGGATGGACGTCTTCTGGTTAAAAATACTCATGAATGTAGAATTTGAACATCAGGGTTCATTTTTTTATTTGCTGACATGCATTTTTTCTTGCAACAGCTGAAGTTTTGGGAGCAGTAGGCAATCCCATGC